AAGCAACTATTGTTCAAATATCTACACTTAAGAATCCAACTAAGAAGTGTAATGCCGAAAGTGACAATAGTAGTGTTTGACAGAATTGCCATTAGATGTCCCTAAACCTTACCCCAAGTTGAAAAGTAATTTCATTGGTTCCATTCAAAGCTGTTATCATTTTTAAAGCACATACTGTGCAGTCTTCTGATAAGTGCCAGTTGATCCAAAATTGGTTTTAAAGGCTTTTACTGTATGCCAGTGGTGATCTATCAAGTCTAAAGGATCCTAATTTTCCATTTTGCATAGGAGACACTGCAATTTCAGCACTTTGCTGCAAACACTTAAGTACAGAGGGACAAAAGGCAATTCAGATGCTCAGCTTGATTTTGTATAACAACCAGCAGAAGGAGGAAAACCATAAGCTTTCCCCACAGAATCTGTTGTGACAAAAGGATATCGCACATTCAGAAAGCATCTCCCCTCCTAAAGTTACCAGGACTGTTTTAAATTCCCTCCAACTGAACAGATACACAAAGTACATCAACAGATGTTGTAATGCAAGCTGCAGCAATGCCACAGAAATATAACAATGTAGCTGGTAGGAACAGTGTTCCTCACTCTGGCTCTGTGAGGAACCTGAAATCTGGTAGACTTAAGTCTAAAACGAGAGATGATCAGGCCCTATTTAACATATGTACAGTGTTTACACTCTGACATGCTTTTGAATTAAGGTCTATACCCGACAGTGCCCTGAATCTGTCAGATAACTCCTTCACAATAATGTCGGCCTCAAGCTTGAAACATGGTTCAAAAGTCACGAAAGCTGAGGTAATTACTCTAGTCTTTTCTCCTCTTTAAAACTGGCAACAGTATTTGTGGTTGAAATAAGCTACGCTGCTGACACAACTGCACTCATTTAGAAACCAAATGTTTGTAGAATAAGTACAATTTTTTCAGAGGAAAATACTGTCACAATCAATCCCACCATTTTCTCTTTTAAATAAAAACAGTTTTTGCATGTCTTTTGTGGCTGTGCCAACTGTAAAATGCTCTTGAAACATTCACTGCACACCACCAAAACCTTAAGGAGTTTTTCATTCCAATAATTAAAATGTAGAGAAAAAGAAGAAAATTAATTTATCTTCAAATCCCTTTCAACAGCAAAGCCATCCTACTCAAGAGCTGCAGAGAGCTAACTAAGCTTCTTAATTCCCTCCTGTTTAACCCTCTCCTGAAGACTGATGTTCTAATGAGATATCATAAGAAGACTTTGTCCTTTGCTATGAAGCATTAGAAATGATTCCACAGAACAGTCCAGGATAAAACAGACATGTAACTCCTGTACAACTGGTTAACACAATGCAGCTTTGGAGTTTATATACTTTTCTACAACAGGTACGCTACTGAATGACAGGTCTGCCTCCAGGCAGGTCACAGAGATCAAAAAGACCCACCCAAAAAGAAGGAAACCTTGCTATAACTGCTGGGATAGCAGAAACCTAGACGCTGCAGTAGTTTATAAGTCTAGCACTTGGTTCAGCACTGCTGAACTTTTTTTTTTTTCCTGTGGCTGCCTGCCAGTGAACAAAAGATAATCTTGCACTTAACCAATCCAGACATTAAATGCACAGGAAAGAAACCTTATCTTCTGACTTATGACAGAAGATGACAAGCAGAGCTGGCAAAAATAAAGACGCAGCGCCCTAGGAGCCAAGGGCAGCAACTCTAAGTACAGCAGGATTTTTAATACCCAACCAACTCTTCATCTTGGCACTAGCAGTTGATTCATCTGCTTTGCCAGCCACAGATGTCACACAGGGAAAAATCTCACTTGGACAGTATAACACAGAAAAGAAATTGAAGACCACAAAATGTTCTTGACCCATATGAAAACAACATCTAAATCAACAAACATCCTATCTAAACAATCCTCAGGTGGTTGCTTCTGTTTTAGGGATGAAAAACTTGGTCACTAACTATTCACCTTAAAATAATTTCCATGAATATGGTGTGTCTACATAAAACACGCTCTTAATAAAAAAATCTCTGGAATTCTTAAATTAAAGACGTTCAAAAGCCAATGCAGAAAAAGAAGGAAACAAACAAAAACTAGTCTAAACCAGACACAAATGTGTCAAAAGGATTATTACCTGAACACTATTCAGCCAGCAGGTTGAAACACAGCAGCACGTTGATTTAAGCACACATCACTCAGTTAAACATTGCAAAGGGCCAAAGCTAAATTTGAGAGGGAAGTCTTTCTGTGGCCATTTCTGGACTTAAATGCAACATATTCAAGTGAAAAGGTCTGCTGTTTGTGTATGCAAAGTTCATCTCAGTTAAGTCTGTTTATAACAACATTGAAGTCTTGACTAACTTTATTTTAGTTAAATTATAACTGATTACTAAATTAAAGACAGAAGTGCTGACACAAATCCATCAGTACAAGAACTCAAACTCATTTACATGCAGGCTAACTGCAAGTATTTAATTTTATCTAAGTGACTGTACCTTAACAGTGATGTACACACCACACTCCATAAATAAACTCTGATGCAGTGTAATTTTTTTTTTCAAACACCAGCCCAAGCACTCTGGAGAGCTTCACACAGAGCAAGTACAGAATCCAAACAGGAGGGAGACCTTAAAAATGTTAAAGCTTGTTCACTGGAAAGTTTCCCCATCACTGCATTTTCCAGTAACAAAGATGTTGTCAGAAATGACAATTTTTCTTGTCCCCTGATGATGCCTTGCTAGCATTTGGTTATAAGCCATAAAGCAGGAATCATTTCAGCCTGTCAGGAGTCTAGCTAATGCCCAGTTTCCCCCTAGAGAGAATTCCTGTCAAACGTAATGAGAGCTCCAAAGGCCCTTTCTACAACATAATGAGCACTTAGGCCATGCTGGTGATCAGCCAGCAAAAAGCATCAATTTGAGCCTGGCTACACCCTTGGGGGTAGACGTCACCAGTTAATAAGAATTATGATTAGTATCTGTCAAAAGACTCCTCAGAACTTATCGTTAGCAGTGGAAATTCAGAAGAATGTCATTGTTAGGATTTTTTTGCTTCCTGTAATCTAAGGCCACCTACATACTGAACTGCAACACTATTTGGCATCCTCACTGGAGGCATCTAAATCAATAGCCTTTAGCATGAAGGTGCTACTTTTACCAGAAATTAGAATTACTTAACACGTAAAAGCATAGTATCTGACACTCACATCCAGAGAAATGTATTTATACCTTCAAAAGCCTATTATTTTCTTAACAGCATGCACAGAGCAAGTGTGCACTACTCTCCCCAGCTACAACTAACACATATATAATGCTCTGTCATAAATCTTAAAAGCTTCCGAAGTATCACCGCCTACTGGGTACATAATTCTAATTGCCATACATACAGAACATTAAACCTTTATACATATGTTAAGGTCAAAGGGGGAACCTTAGTTCTCACCCACTTTAATCCTGCAGGTTTAATTGATTTTACTTACAGTTAATTCCTAGTACACTAACTGAAATCACACATTTTCTTCAAAGAGCTCCTGAAAAGAACATTCATTTTGCAGCAAATGATCTTCCTATACAGATATTGGCTTCTTCAGGGGTTACAGTATGCCAAAAAGTTGTTGAAGAGAAAAAAATGCAAGAAAAAAATCTTGAAAGCACAAAGGTAAGAAAAATCACCTCACAGAAAAATTGACATTCTTCTAAAACACAAGCCACAAGAACATTTGTGAAGCTACAGTACAGAACCAAGTCAAATACTAAGCTTGTTGTTCCATCTGGTTATTTGGTGCATTATTAAAAAAAAAAAAAATCTGAAGGGCAGAGAAGCAACAAGGAGTGCATCGCGCAAGTTCTATGGATTCTGGTAAACTCTGTGTTACTTTTTTTAATGGTGTTTTGAATTGAAACAAGCAAAAACCCTTCTAAAACCTTAAAGAATACCTACCCAGATTTGCAGATAGAAAGCTATCATGGAATTACAATGCCATCCTATCAAATATGGTATTTTTAGGGGAAAACAAAACAAACAACAAAAAGAAATTCAAAGAGTTCAGAGTTACAAAAGCAAAATTCAACTCCGTAATTCACTTGCTTAATGAATGTCTTTGAATATACTGAAGATCTGAAGCCTGAACTAATCAATTTCTTCGCTGTGCCCTAGCCAGTCAGCCATGCTCTTTAATTTAATGAAACAAGAGTTTTAGATGAAATAGCACATACACATCAAGAAAGAATTGTATTGTTGCACTTTGAAATGTGTCCAACTGTGCAACTTCATCTAATGATAATTTTTTTAAGAGGCCATCGATTTCTGAAAGACTTATTGTACTAGCATCTTGATGAAAAAGTGAATGTCAGCATATCTACAGAATACTTACACCCTGCCATTAATGCTTTATTTGGCAGACAATGACTACTCAATTGAGGGTCCTCTGGGCTGTGCAATCATTTAGCTTTTCTTCTCTTATGAGGTCCTTAGTGTCTTGTTCCAGTTCAATACTCTTTTTATTCACCATTATAGTGGCCATAAGTGTGAATTTTATGGGAACTTGCAAACTCATAGTCATAACTAGATCTTTCCAAGTCACTAATCTGTTCATACCTTTATAAGGCTGGGATATGAGTAACTATGACTACATATGTTACACAGACACAGGATCAGTTCTACATGTCAGCGCCTATACCAGTAACAAAACAAACAAACAAAAAGAAACCCAACTCAAAGTATCCCAAACTTGTAAAGTACTGAACTGCATTTTTAAAATCACAGCTACAAGATCTTTCCTATTTATGCCAAGGTCTTTCATAACCAATACCAAAAAAGATGCTGCTGCTTAACCTAATCTACACCTCATCTGACAGGAGGTAGGCAAAATTCTACTAACCAGGCTACAAATCAGGCTATTGATTCAGACACGATACAGTCATCTGAGCATAAACAGCACAGCTACATTTAAATGCGCCAGACAGACTGCAGATTTTGCAGCTTAGAAAACAAAATGTCTTACCTGTTTGTGCATTTCAATGTTTAATCCATATGACATTTCATAGTACTGCAAATAAATGAATATACATTATTTTCTTATGCTGACTTACATTGTATTAAAAGATATTTATTGAAATAAAGATAAAAACAAATATACTTACCATCACATAATGCCTCTGCATTTCCGTCTTTTCGCTTGCCAGTTTCTCACATTCCAATTTAAGGCTACAAAATAGATCATGCTTTAATGTAATATGGCTTTTTTTTTTTTTTTGGCATCTACCCTCCCTATTTGTATTTTGACATAAGCTGCTAATTAAAAAAAAAAAAAATCATAAACTGACTTGCAATATAGAAAGACTTAATCATACTTGAAATAAAAAGGCTAAAGAAGAAATTTAAAGAACATTCTTTGAGTCCTGTATTAGGCCTGAACTGTCTACAGAACCTAAACATATCCACTCTTCCTACTTTGACAAAGAGCTGCTATTAAGTGCTGCAACTTGCAAGTTAGAATAGGATCTGAATTTCCTGTAAGTACTTTTCAGGAGTAAAAGATAAAAATAGAGGCATTTCTTTCTATACAGCATTTAGTAAGTGACTGCCACGTAACACCACTCACATTTACAATTCTTACCTTAAATACATTCTAGCAAATGTTACCGTGCCCAGTGCTTGAAAACTGGTAATTCTGAGTATCATTTACTGGCAAGTTTCTTTTCCACTTTTGTTTTCATAAACAAAAGTAAGTTGCATTTATATGTCTCATCACAAACCATGATATAATTCTGACTACTTTCACCGAGAGCCTCAATGTTCCCTCTGTTTTCTATCAAACTGATTTTTTAAAAACTGTTACTTGTGAACATCCTATTGAACAGTTTGTATGCAAGCAGTATTTTTCACTCACAGCTACAAAGCCAGATGTTTAGAATTTAAATTGTATTTCTTAAGCAATAAATGGCTTAAGCATAGGTAAAGGAAGAGGAAGCATAACTAACACAAATCAATTTCTCACTGGGAAACCTGTAAAGCTTTTACTTCTGTCCAAATATGCCAGGTGTTCATAAGTACAAAATCAGTGAAGATTAATACTCCTTAACACCACATGCCCAGGGTCAAAAAGAATCTGTACCCTAAATCTCTGAAAGGACCTCAGCAGCAAGCACACACCCACAAAGAACTTCTGAATGGGCAGGGCTGCAACGAGGAGTTGCATCCCGCAACTTCCAAGGATTCTGGTAAACTTTGTGTTACTGCTCTGAGTACTTGTGTGTTTTAACCGTCCTTCCTGACTCTTAACCACAGGACGCTGGCATTTTATTAATTTTTGCATTAACACCACACACAAATGAGCAAACAGGAGAAGTAGCCTCCTTAACGCGCTGTGCCACAGAACCGGCGCAGATCTTCTCGTGATACACTGAAATGACCCCTCCACATACGGGTTCCAAAGACACAGTGTGTTTTTTCAAAGGCACAGAGCTGCCGAACGCTCCAGTTTCGCCAGTTCAAGCACGGGCCCGCGCAGGGCAGGGCTGTCTCCCCGTAGGCGCCCGGTCCCCCCGCGCTCCCCTCCCGGCCCGGCGGGGTCCCCGGCGGGGCTCGGCCGCAACGCCGCACGCCACCGCCTGGACGCGCCCGTTCGGTGCAGCCCCGCGCCCGGCCGGGGACCGCGCGGCAGTCCCCGGTCCCGGGGCGGCCCGCCGGCGCTCACCTGTGGTACTGCGCCTGGAGGAACTGGAACTCTTCCTTGATGCGGTCCAGCGACTCCGGGATGGTGAATTTAAAAGGCTGGCCCGCAGCCTGGTGCGGGGTCTGGCGCGGTGGCGGCACGGGAGAGAGATGCACGTTCAGACACTGCGCGGCCACCCCGCGAGGAAGAGGAGGCGGCACTGTCCATCGCGGCCGAGCCGGAGGGATAGAGAAAGCGCCCGGCCCGGTCCGCCTCCGCCCCGGGGCGCAGCGCACTTGTTACCCACCTTCCCGTCCCTCATCTGCGGTAGGACCGAGGTTAACCGTCCTACGGATCCGACCCACCCGCTCCTGCCGCCGCCGTCCACACGAAAGCGGGAAGTGCCGGCTCCTCCCCGCCGACCCCCGCCGCAGAGGCACAGCCAGCCCCGTTCCGGGCGCTGTGTTTGGCGGATGCTGCCTGGCCCGGCGGCAACCCCCCGCCGTCCTTCCCAAGGCAAGTAAGTTGCCCTCGCAACAAAAAATATTGGGGGCCGTTCCGGCAGGCAGGATTAGCCGCTCGACCCCGGAGAGAATGAACTTGTGAGAGCGCCTTCCTCTCCCACCCCCCAGTTCCAGCCGAGCAACCGAGATGGAGGTGCGCTCCGGACCGCCCGGCCCTCGCCCCGGACCGGCGGCCCAAGCCATACTTACGGGGTGCCGACTCTGGGGGAACATGGCTCCGGCCGCGGCGGGTCTCCCTCGCAGCGCGGCTCTCGCGGCGGGACTCCCCGCCCTGCCCCGGCTTCACACCCGATGCGCCAAGGGGACCGGAGCGGCGACACCCGCCGACGGCCTTCCCTCCGCCGCCGCGGGCAGCAGCGGGGCGAGGCGCGGCTCAGTGCCCCCGCCGCGGGGACATTCCCCAGCCGCGGCGTCCTTTGTTGCTGTTGTACCAAGAAGGGCTGAAGGCGGCCGGGAAAGGCGGACGAGCCGCGCTTGGGACGGTCACCAGCGCTCCGCGCTCTTTCGGCGGCGCTCCGACCGGCGGGCGGCGCCCGCAACGCCCGGGCGCGGCGGAACGGGACCCGACGGGGCTCGGGGAGGAGGCAACAGCCGCCCCTCGGCAGGAGCGAATAATCCCCTTCACGGACTCGCAGTGGTCGATGCGATTGTAAGGCCGGAAACCCCAGGCGGAGGCGACTCTTCTCTCCTCTTCTGCCCCTTGTCAAAAGGGGAAAATCCAGCCGGAGGGAGGGGATCGCAGTGTCCGCGGCGGGAGCGTCGCAAGCCGAGGGGGCGAAGAAAGTCTCCAGGCAGGCACGCGTTGCTCCCAGGCGTCGGCGCAGGGGCCAAACCACCCGCAAGACACAGGGCGATGAACAAGGGAGGAAGGCAGGAGGAGGAGGAAGGAGGCGGGCGGGGGCTCTCGCACAGACGTCGCGGATCGGAGCAACTCCAATAGCAGATGCACGAAACGCTGGAGGGCAGAGGAAAGGGTACCACACACGCAGCACAGACTCTGCCGTTAGTTGCAGAGAAGTCCCCAGGACAAAAGGAAAGCAAACCCCTCAAGATGCTCGCTGGCCTTAGCGTCCAGGCAACCAGCCCCGTTGAGGAAGATTAAAAAAAAAAAAAAAAAAAAAATAGAAACGAAAGCGTTCGTTTGGGATTCAAATCAGACGGGAAGCTCCTTCGCTCAACAGCCACCACTACAGCCTCTTACTGGCGGGTGCGTAACTGGGAGCTGCGCGTCTCACCACAACCCCCCTATCGCGATACATCGCGGCAACATCAGCAGCATCATCCTCATCCTCGCTCTCCTCCGCGGTGGCCCGCGATAAAGTTCCTCCCAGCTGAAAAATCCGAACCCGAGCGTACGGGAACGCCACCGGCTTCCTTTGCCCCGGCCCCTCCGCGCCGGCCAAGGGCAAGGAGAAGCCGAGGCGGCGGCCTGGCGGGCGGCGCTCGGCGGGACCGGAGCGCGGCTGCGGCCGAGCTGGACACGCCGAGCTCGCCCGCGCCGCTCACATTAGCACGCGGTTTCACACTCCGCCGGCTAACCAGCCGCGCGGCCCCGCCCACGCCGCCGCGCGGGGGGGCGGCCGGCCAATCGCCGGCCCCGCCGCCAACGTGGGCCCGTGACGCGCCGCGGCCCCGCGGCCCAATGGCAGGAGCCGGAGTCGCGCCGCCTCCCGGCTCTCGCTGGGCCGCGTCTCTGCGGCGGAGCGGCGGCAGCGCTCAGGGCCGGCCAATGGGAGGGCGCGCGGCGCGCGGCGCCGCGGGGGGGCGGGGAAGGTCGGCGGGAAGGAGAGAGGGGCGGCCGCGCTGTCCGTCAAAGTAACGTGGGGCCCGCGCGCCCGGGCGGGGCTGCGGCAGCGGGCTCGCGGCGCCTGCGCGCGGCGCCTCCGCCGGGGCCGCGGGGCGGCTCCGTCCGGCTCGGCCAGGGCCTCAGCACCGCACCGCCCGCTCCGCACCGCCCGCTCCACCTGTACTGGCCGCACCGCACTGCCCGCTCCGCACTGCCCGCACCGCGACCGGCACCGCACTGCCCGCCCCGCGCTGCCCGCCCCGCGCTGCCCGCTCCGCGCTGCCCGCCCCGCACTGCCCGCTCCGCGCTGCCCGCCCCGCACTGCCCGCTCCGCGCTGCCCGCTCCGCGCCGCGCCCCAGCCCCACACCGGCCGGCGGCGCCCGTGACAGTGCGGCGGGTGGGTCGGGCGCACGGCCCCACCTCGTTCGCCAAACGACGGCGGCGGGACCGCGGCACCTGCCGACAGCGCGCCGTGGGAAACGCCGAGGGAAGGATAAGCCCTCCCGCGTGCTTGCGCGACTCAGGGCACGCCAACTGCCGTGTTGGTTGGAATGACCCTCTGATCCGACGGAAGCTGTCCTTTGGGGAAAACTGGGTTCTTTTAAAGAGGAGCCTGATAGAGGAAAGCTGTCAATAACTTTGGTTTATAGGCCCACTTGAGATAGATGAGGGTCAAACAAATTCCACAGGCTCTGTGTGCTTGCTGAGGAGATGACAAATGGTGACATAGCTTGCAGTGGGAAATACACTTCAAAACATATCCTCTGTTAGCAAGCACCTTATTCATAGCAGAATTCCACAATGAAGTGTGAAATACCTTTGGACTTAGGACAGTGCCTTGATACACGCTTTTGCTGTTGGTATATCCTTGTGTGCTACCTAAAAAGAGGTCTTAGAATGTTGAACCACATAATTTAAACATGGTGAGGGTATTTTTTATAATTCCCCACTAGCCTTTACAGATTGCTTCCTTAGAATTATATTGTGGTTCATCTTGTATCCTAAAGAAAGAGCATTCTGTGTTTAATATTTGATAGGAAATCTAATGTTTTGCAATATCAAAGTAAAGCTTTACTCATTCCGAGTGATAATTTCCCATTATTATTCCCAGAATGTTCTGTATTCCCAGTTTTACTTAAAAACATCCAACACAAAAGGGAGTGAAATTGTCTCAGTCTTCTGCAGTGAAAAGTTTGGACTTTGTTCCAGGACGGCAGAGTTTTGTCAATGAGCACTGATACATCCGTGTCTCCGTGCATGTCTGAGTACATGTATATGTCTGTGTATAATGGGGTCTGTACCTATAGGTGTCCATATGCTATTGTGTTTCTGTCTATGTATATGATGTAAATATGCATGCATCCCGGGGAATACATAAATAAACAAGTGGGCTTTTAATGGTTTCTAAGAGAGGTGACAAAATATCCTTGATAGTGAGCTTTGATAAGCTGTGGTTCCCAGGATGGGAGTGTAAACTTGTCTGGTGTTCCACCTGCATAAGCAAAGCTTAAAGTCTTGCATTCTGTTCCCAGCTCTTCCCTGGTTGTGTTGGACAAGCCAGCTCGCTGCTCAGTTCATGGCAATGGAAAGCTTAATTACTTAATGCTTATTAAAGTACTTAGATCTTCAGATGAAAGGTGCCATAAAAATGCAAACTATGATTATATATTTTGTGTGTGTATCTAGTAGCTATGGAGTCTATAATAATGTAACAATTACCTAAGTTTTGTTGTACTTTGCTTAACCTGCTGGCACAAGTTGTTAAAGAGACATTGACAGATATGACATTAAAACAACACTAAGTTTTGGAACATAAACAAAAGGGGATTGGTTTTTTTCTTAATTGCTCACCTACATGAAAGTTGAAATGTCATGTTACCTATATTTGTCAACATTAAAACATCCAAGGCATGTTTTAACAGAAGGAGAAAAGCTCTCTTTTCCTGGTTCTTATTAACAAGTGCTTTTAACCTACTTTGATTCTGGAATCAGACACTTAAGGGCATTTTGAATCTTATCCATTGTATTTAAGAGAGAAGAGCTGTACAAGCAGAAGTAGAATCAAATGTGCTGGATTTTTTTTTCTTTTTTTTCTTTTTTTTTTTTTTTTTTTTTTACTGAGAGCAAATGACATTACATAGCAGGAATTATAACCAACATGATCTGATATTTAACTAATTTATAATGCATCATCACTGGCTCATTAAAGCATGAAAAAAATTAGTTTTTTTGGATGGGTATAAATCTGGATTAATTCCAGGAAACTGAACATTCTCATTCCATGGCAATATTCACTATTTACACCATAGAAAAGCAGCAAAATATGGCTAAGCATGTTGCTAAGTAGGTAGCATTTTATACCAGATCATTCTGCCACAATGCTGTATATACTCTACACAATTCTCCAACTGGATTAAAAATACTTGCTTTTAAATTTCTGTCTCAGGTTTCAAAAATAAAAATATTTCCTTCAGTATTAACCCTCCCAATTGTTCTGCCCCATCATCCATTTTACTCTGTTGTTTGAAATAAATTGGTTTTTACTGTAAAAAATTTTGTGTCATGTTGCTACCTCATAAAGCAAAAGGCCTAATCCTAAACTGGCTACCAAAAATTCACACTGGAAGCAGTTGGAGTTTTGAGTGAAAAAAAAGTATGCTTGGGTCCAAAATGCAGGTTAAATGTGCTGAAAGGGTTTCAGATGTAGCATCCATTCTTTAGCAAAACTATGATGTTCTGTTTATTGCATTGTTTATTATCTTTTCCTTCACTGTTCATGGTACTTTTTATGAGCAATATTTTTTTAACTTTGTGCAAACTGGCACATAAAACAAAGATGTTGATGAAGTTAATCACTAGGTATTAGCTGCAGGTGAGAAGTAAACAATATAGTATGTTTTGTTCTACTCTTCAACTCTCTATATAGTAAGAGCTAGTCAATAGACGAAGCAGTTCTAGAATTCAATAGAGTTTATGCTTTAAAGGTTTTAGATAGATCACTGGATTTTCAACTGAAAGAGAAACATGCATGTGTTAATGGGCATGGGGGTTATTCTATTTTGTTTGTTTGTTTTAGGGTTTGGTTTGTTTGTTTTGGGGTTTGGTTTGTTTGTGTTTAATGTCAATGTGGTGCAGGTGAAATAGAAAAAAAACCCTGAATCATACAATACATGTGGTATAGTAGTGACTGTCTATACAGTTGAAAGAATAGTAATTATTATAAGGACATGCAAAACAATATCACTTTTTAAATATTCATGTATTTGTGAAGTGCAAATGATGTGAACAGGGTAAAGCAATTACATTTCTAATTATTTGCTGTCTTTTGGCTAATAGCCATTCCATACCCTCTTAGTAATTTGATTTCTTTTTAATTAGTAACTTTCCTTGTAGGCAAGAATGTTCAAAAAGTTGCACTAGGTCATTTTACCATTATGACTGTATTCACTTCCCTCATTCTTTCACCCTTAAAAAAGTCCCTGGGCTGAATTAAAAAAAAAAAAAAAAACAAGTCAGTAGCAGATCGTGCAGCAGTAAAACCTCAAATAGAATCAGATCCAAAGAATCCCTTTTGGCTTCACACGGTATGGTAAAATTAGAGATTGCAGGAAACCAAAAAAATTAAACTGGGAACATTTGAAAAGAAATGACCAGGCTTTATGAAAATGACACATTGACTGGCCAGTGTGTTTTTTTTATCGATACTTTCTTTGTTGAGGCATACATCAAAGAAACCTGCATATGTTTTCAGTTTGTTCTAAGTCTAACTAGAAAATTACATCCAGATGTTTAATAGGCATTCTGTTGGTTTTCTGCATTGATTAGATATATTGGTACTGTTTGCTTACAAGTGTAGCCGGATCATTAGCTAATGCAAAGAAATGTTTGTAGCGAGTTGCTAATTAGGTCTTTTGGAAACTCTCCATACTAAGGAACAATTTGTACAGTGGCCAGAAAAACTTGCAGTACTTGAGAAGTCATTTTCCCTTCTGTGTCTGGGAAAAAACAGTCAGTCGCTTTCCCTAATCTTCTTTTGCCTACAGGGATTGCAGCTTGATCCCAGTGGGTTGAAGTGCAAATAAATTAGGAGGAGACCACACACATTCACATACGCGCACACACACATGCACACACACACACGCATGCACACACTCCCCACACGCACTCCCCCCTCCACCCCCAATCTGCTCCTTTAGTCAAAAGTCAGTTGTGCAATCTTACATAAAGCTAGCCAAAATGGAGTGCTTAAAACTAAAATGTGTTAAATTCTCAACATTCATGTTATCAAATACACAGCATTTTGGAGCATACTTTAGA